ACTTAAATGTAAAATGTAGGCACTTGGGTGGCTCAGTCGTTAAGCCTCTGCCTTTGGCTCAGCTCATGATCCCAGGGTCCTGGGATCGAGCCCCGCATCGGGCTCCCTGCTCTGCGGGAAGCCTGCTTCTCCCTCTCCCACTCCCCCTGCTGCTTGTGTTCCTGCTTTCACTATCTCTCTTTAAAAAAATGTAAAATGTAGGGGCGCCTGGGTGGCTCAGTCAGTTAAGCATCTGCCTTTAGCTCAGGTCATGATCCCGGGGTCCTGGGATCCAGCCCAGCGATGGGCTCCCCGCTCAGTAGAGAGCCTGCTTCTCCCTCTCCCTCTGCTGCTTCCCCTGCTTGTGCTCTCTCTCTCTCTGTCAAATAAATATATTTTTTTAAAAAATGTAAAATGTAAAACTATAAAACTTTCAGGGAAACACAAAGAAAAATTTCAGGGTATCAGGCTAGGCAAAGAGTTCTCATATTTGACACCAAAAACACAATCCATAAAAGCAGAAACTTAATAAATTTATCCAAAAACTCACATCACATCATGAAAAAATGTTCAACATCAATGATAAACAGGGAAATGCTCATTAAAACCATAATGAAGTATTACCATATACCCATTAGAATGACTAAAAAACAGTGACAACACCAAATGCTGTGAGGATGTGGAGAAAATAGATTACTCACTCACACATTTCTGGTATAAATGTAAAATGATAAAACCACTCTAGAAAATAGTTTGGCAATTTCTTTAAAAACTAAACATGCGATTACCATACAAGCCAGCAATTGCACTCTTGGGTGTTTACCTCAGAAAAATAAAAACTTTTGTTCACACAAAAAGCTATACCCAAATGTTCATAGCAGCTTTATTCATAATAACCAACTAGAAACAATGAAGATATCTTTCAACAGGTTACGTGATTAAACAAACTATTGTATATCCATGCGACAGAATACTAATCTTCAGTAAGAAGGAATGAACTACTGGTACACAAAACAACTTGGATGAATTTCTAGGGAATTATGCTGAATAAAAAAAGAAGCCAATCCTAAAATGTTACATGCTACATAATTCAATTAATAACATTTTGAAATGGCAAAATTATAGAAATAGAGAACAGATTAGGTATTAGGATGGAGACTGGGTGGGATCCTTGTAGTGACCAAACTTTTTTTTTCTTGACTTAAGTAGTGGTATATGAGTACGTGTGATAAAATTATATTGAACTAAATGTGCGCGTGCGCACACACACACACACACACACACACACAAAGAATGCTCATAAAACTGGGGAAATCTGAATTAGATTGGTGGATTATATCAATCTCAATAACTTCTGTGATATTGTACTATAGCTTTTCAAGATGTTACCATTTGGGGAACTTGGGTAAAGAGTACACTGGATTGCTCTGTGCTATTCTTACAACTGCATGTGATATACAATTACCTCAAAACTTTTTTCATTAAAAAGAGGCTACACAGAACTCACTGAGAGCCAGTAGGAAGCAATCTAGGCCTTCTTTATCCTCCCTTAAACAGAGATTGGTATTTTTATTGGTATGTATCCTTAGGACTTTAAAAACCACTCATGTTGCCACTTGTGTTTTGCCAACATCTCCTCTATGAAGTAAAATGTACATAAGGCTTTGAAGTACTATGATTTTCAAGAAGTAGTAGCAGAAAGAAAAATATCTTTAAACACCATGTCGGAGTAGAAAGAAGCTAAGGGTCTGAATTAATTGCCCATGGTTTCTCAGCAAAATATCAAGGTTTTGAGGAAAAGATTAGGAAGCAGTTTTAAGAGAAATTTTTTCTTTTTCTTTTTCTTTTCTTTTCCAGGATAATTTGATTCAGTGATTAGAATTTAGAATAAAAAAGACAAAGAACAAAAGATGAAAAGAGGCAGTAGACTCAGGATCCTGGACTCAAGTGTCAAATCTGCTACTATCCGTGTGAGTGTGGGCAGTCCAACTCAATCTGTTTGCATCTCCATTTCCTCGTAAAAATTAAAGCATTAGACCAAATCCCAAGATCCCTTCCAGCTTGAAAATATTCTATGATACTACAAAATTTGAAACGTTGATGAAAGTAAAGCTGATGATGTTTCATCCCATTCCTTCATTAGACTTAATTTAATAAGGTTCTCCATGGTAACTTCAATTGGCAATCCAAGCATTCCCTTCAGCTGTGTAAATGATGCCCCTAATTCCAATATAACTATTCAGGTTTCCTTACCAAGTCTCTAAGTGCTAATTAACTTTGAAGCAGCTCTCCAAAACAGTCTCCATTACAATTTAGACCAAACTGCCTTTCTTTTTAAAGATTTTATTTATTATTTTTCAGAGAGAGAGAGAGAGCACGCACATGCACAAGCAGACGCTTAACTGACTGAGCCACCCAGATGTCCCTATCCGTTGCCTTGAGTTCTTTTTCATTCATTCCACTGAGTGAAAGAATTTTAAAGTGTAAAGAGACTGGAGAGAGTTTCAACCATACAGCAGCTTCAAGTTTTAGGGGCTAATGCTTTTGAGGATCTTACATAATAGTCTTCTGGGGCTTAGATCTCATCATTCTCAAGATAAAAGTTACCCTTGATACAGTGCAAAATGTTTTTGTTATACAACTCTTGCTTTCTTTAATAGACCACCCAGTTCCTTGAGAAAATTTAGATTAGGCAAACTCAGTGGTACTCGTCTCTTCCTACCACCTGATACCTACCCCCTGCCAAAAACCTTAAGTACCTTACTGAATCTCCAAGTCAGAGCCTATTTTTCAAGGAGCAAATCTGGCTGTTGACCACAACTCAATGTATGGTGTCTATTCATGATGTTGTGAGGTGCCTACTATGAAACTAGTCTGCTGTATTTGTCAGGTTTTCTACATTAATGCTGTTTAACAAAGACTTCTCCCCATCCCTGCTCCCCCTCCAATTCTCAGTAGCTTACAACCACATAAATACAAATATTTCTTTCTTTCTTACAGGTCTACAGGTCAGCTGTTGGTGAAATGGACTTGACTGCCTTGGTTCCTAGCTATGAGTGATTGCATGTCTATTTTGCACATTTCTTTATTCTGGAACCAGCATCTGTTAAACATTTAATTTTTTTTCATGACAGAGGGCAGGTTTACATGAGGGCTGGCAATAACTTATCATGTTTCTTTAAAGCTTATAGCTGAAAACTGTCATACTTTCAATTCTGCCCACATTTTATCGACTAAAGCAAATCCTATGATGAAGCTGAACATTAGTGCATGCAGGAAGTATATTCTATACATGAAGAATCCATGACAAGGACAGGGAGGGAAAGAAGAATTGTAAGCAAATAATACCATATATCACTTTTGCTTACCACTATAAAGAGAAAAAAGTAAATTCAACTACTACCACTCCAATATGTTACAGGCATTTGTTTTTCACCTTCCTGTTAGAGAGTGAGAATCTGGGTTTTAGAAACATACTCTTAGTTCCAACGATCTTGTCATTCTTTCTCCCTGCCTAGACTCAGAGAGCCTAGTCCAACAGCCTAGGCTGACATCCTAGTGCTCCAACGGTGTAAGGTGAGAAAGAGCCTCTGACTTGGAGATCCAGTGAAGAAACTTAGGGTTTGGGGCACGGATGGGTATCAGGTAGTGTGAGGAGATGAGTACCACTGAGAGTTTTCCTACCCTTGATTTTCTTAAAAACTAGGTGGCCTAATCAAGAGCCACAGAAGAAGAAGAAAATTTTGTACTGTATCAGGATAACTCTAATCTTGAGAATAGTGAGATGTGAGCCCCAGAAGAATATTGAGCAAGATCCCTCAAAAGCGCTAGCAGGTAAAAAGCCTTGAAGCTGCTGTACGATTGATAAACTCTCCAGTAAGAGTGTCTACACCTTAAAATGAAAAATAGCTTTTCTGCACTCCTAGTTCCATTCCCTCCCATTCTCTCAACTGAGATTCAAAAAGATGTAACTGTTTTCAGAGAACATTAGGTCAGAGTTTACACAAATCTTTTACGTGGTTAACTACCAACACTTACCAGGCTCAGAACTGCCACTAAGGAGTATTTTGGAAACTTGGGGGTGATTTTTAATTTTCACAGTGAATTGAAGATAACACAAACATTTGGTAAGCCAAGGATGATAGATTTCTTACAAGGAGCAGTACACTGACATACAACTATTCTATAGTCCACATAAGTTTCTAATGTCTTACCAGTCTTGTAGAAGAAAATCCCATTTGTATGTATTTATACCTAGAACCTAACTCCATGGCACACAAAGTGTTTTTTGCAAGGTGTTAATTTGCACTAAATTTTCTAGAAATGCAACCACTGTATAAATTATGTATTTTTTTCCTGAGCTTTGTCTGAAACTTTACCAAGAGTTGTTTACCTTTCAGGAAACCAATATCCCTGAGGCAATGCTGCATATGTATTTGAGTCATCAATACAACACACTTGTATCACTCTGCAGCTGTAGCTGCTCTATTCACATTGATTATAATAATTGATCCAAGCAATGGACATCATGTTTTAAAGTGCGGTCATGCTTAAATGCATATTGAAACATATTATAAATTACATATTTCTATATAATGTATTATATTTAATAAAACATTGAAACTATTTTCCTTTTATTGCTCCTTTATATTACAGTTTGGATATTTTATTTTTTTAAAACTTATCAATGTAAGCAGATTACATTATATATGAATTGCATTTCAGGGTAATAAAGAGGGCCTACAAAATTGTTATAAAAAGGGAACAGGTTTTGATAGGTTTGAGAACCCCCCCATGCCATCCTGCTATTTGTTTTCCCCCATCTTGTCTCTAAAAATACTGCATAATCAGTGTCATTTTTTTTGCATTTGAATTATTATATTAAATATTATTCTCATGTGATTCACTCACTGTTTTGAATATTAATAGTTTTTGTGGGGGTTATTTTTTTATTTTTATTTTTTTATTATGTTCATTTAGCCAACATATAGTACATCATTAGTTTTTGATGTAGTTTTTTTTTAAATATGGAATGCTTCATGAATTTGCCTGTAATCCTTGCACAGGGACCATGCTAATCTCTGTATCATTCCAATCTTAGTATATGTGCTGCCCAAGTGAGCACTTTGCAATTTTTAATATTCTCATTCCTGTATGATATTCCATTGTAAAAATAAACTATAATTCACTTATCTATACTACTCTTATCCCCCCAGTTTCAGTAAGAAATAATTAGCATATATCACTGTATAAGTTTAAGCAAACAGCATGATGGTTTTCAGTGTCAGTTCTTGATTAACAATTTTGAATTGTAAATTAATGAAATCAAATTTAATGAAGCAATCCTGATAAATGTTTACTTTATCCTCAGGTCCAAAAATTCAAGTGTCAAGAATTTTTTCTCTTAAATATGCTTTTTACAAAATGCTTTTGACCCATTCCTTTTCTCCAGGTTTTCCCTTCTCTAAGCCATTATTATCTTACTTATGTCTTAGCCCTAATCATTATGTGTTAAAATATCTTTCAGGAGGCACCTGGGTGGCTCAGTTGCTTAAGCATCTGACTTTTGATTTCGGCTCATGTCATGATCTCAAGGCTGTAAGATTGAACCCCGCGTCATCTCTGCACTGGGCATGGAGCCTGCTTAAGAGTCTCTCTCTCCTTCTGCCCCTCCCCCACTTATCTCCCCCCCCTTTAAAAAAAAAGATTTTTCAGAAAAACCCACAAGCTAATCTGTATTTTGTCCAATAGAAAACTCATTCTATAATAATCTGAGTGCTTAACACAAACTTTCTGATTTCTTATTTCATTACTTCTATTCTTCTGCTATTAAATGTTATATCTGACTTATCTTGCCTATCACTTAAAAGGTCCTATTCCTTTCTTACTGAATGTTTAATTTTCATGATCATCTGGATTAATATCATTGCTTTGAAAGAAAGCCATCTTTATTCTATCTGAATCATCCTATATAAGTTTCATCCCAAATTATCTTCCACTACACCAGCCAAATATGCTAGGTCAAATGTTAAATACTGGGTAGGAGGGAGGTGAAAAATTAATAATCTTTTCTTCTGTTTTCAAGGGGCTTATCCTCATGGTTACACCAATCTGTACCCCCATTTCTTAATGAGAAATAGAGAAGACAACAGTATTTGTACACATAGCAATATCATTAAAAGCCCACACACCAGCACATTAGTTTCTCACACATTTTTTTAGTTCTTAGCATCATGGTTTGACATTTTCAGAAACTCAGTAGAACCTGAAAAAAATAAGAATGAAGAGTGTAAGTGTCCAAATCCAACACTATAAAAAATGGAAATACATGCCACGAATATATTGTTGAATAAAATGAGTTGAACTGAGTGCAGTTCAACTTGCACATTTCATTTAAATTGTCATTGCTTTCCTTCTCTGCTTACTTGCTGTTCACTGATTATATATGAATCCCAGGCCAAAGACGTAAGGTTCAAATAATAATTATTGCCTAGGGATGAGGGGGTTGTCTCAGTTTTGCAATAAAATAAATAATGGGTTTATAAAGATTACCCATATATTTGTATGTCTTTGTCTGGAACTTATGCATTAGTCCAATTTATAAGCAAAAATTATGCCATCTTAACAGATGGCCCTACATGTAAATAAATAAAAGAACAGAAAGAATTGGTAGAGATTTACTAGGGTTCCTATATAATGGCACACTCGGAAAGAAAGAATAGGGAGAAACTATATAAACTCAGAGATTAAGAAAAGCATCGCTATGCTAAGTATTAGAATTACCTGCAGAGATTAAAAACCTATACCAATGATTCTAATTTAGCTAACCTGGGGCGTGGCTTGGGTACTGGGATTTTTTTAAAAGGTCCCCAGTGATTCCAAGATACAGCCAATTTGAGATCTACTGCACTAAACAAAACCTAAAACACAGCTCTGTTACCAATCATACTTAACTGGATATTTAAGGTAAATTATTTGAAAGATAATTTTCTCAAAGCAAAAAGCAATTCTGTCAGCATAATATTCTTCACAGCTGTAGCTAATAATACACAGTTTATTCCTGACTATAATAACTCATTTTATCAAGATAATTTTGGTCAAAAAACTATGATGTATAATGTATTTCTTTCTATCCTCATTTTTTAAAAATCTGACATGGACTAATTAAATGCAATAAAAACAGGTACTTCAAATTGTCAGTGAGTTGCTAAAGTTCTATTAGTATGCTATAACTCTATGCATATTTCTAACTGCTAAAACTTCTATGGACATATTTTATGCTGAGAGCTTAGGCAGGGTTAGATAGGACAGCAAATAGTATCATGGCTTTCCTCAAACTATTTCGATTATTGACATAATAATAAAAGCATTTTTTTGCTTTTGTCTCATTACCCAAATCTGTATCAGTTTAAAGATTAGTCATATTATTAGCTAAGTAAAATCTTCTTTATCCAGGATGTCTAAAACAAAGGTCATTCTAAGTGAGGAAGTGTAATAGTTGTGATGTATGCAATTCTACTTCAGTTGACCCCGTATTAAAACACTGAAAGCTAACTCCCTATAAATCTATGCTACTCATAATTTGGTTTGAAACAAGCAGCACAGGCATCACTAGAAAGTTTGTTAGAAATGCAGAGTGTCAGAACCCTCCCAGACCTACAGACTCATAATTTGCTTTAACAAGATCCCCAAATGATGTACACTAAGGTTCACGTGATCACTTTGGATGATTTTTATTCACATGAAAGTCTGCATGACCACCTTGCCAAATTCTCTAAATTTATCAAGTTACCAAAATCATGCTTTAAGGAATAGTGTTGAATTTATCTAATTAATATATTCAATACCTATATTCTTCTTAGCAGCATTTTTGTACAGTTGGTCAAAAGCTAAGGGTCATTGAATAGCATACTCTATTAATCTATTTTTATCAACATATTTAAGAGGAAGATAATTATTAATAAAATGAAATGATTTAAATATATTCTCAAATGTAAATATATTAATAAAGGATATATTCATAAGTGTATTCATTTAATGTATATTCTTAGTCTTTGAAAACAAATAATATTTTTGGTAAATTGCTAAATTTGGTAAATTTGGAAAACGGGCCATTTGGTGAAATGGTCACTTGACAAATTAAGCTTTAGAGCAAATGGTATTTGGTACATTGATTTTCAGTGATCAGCCTCTTCCAGTGGATAATACCTAGCATGGCAAATCTATCAGTATTTGAACTATACTTCTCTTTTTTCACTGTGGTTTTAAAACCACATAAGCTGATTAATATTTAGGGAATATTAAGTAGGATTAAGAGCAGACCTGGGTTTGAGTACTCAATCCACTCCCTGTATGATCTTGATTAAATTATTTAACTAAGACTATGTTTCCCTAGTCCACAGGACTCTTATGTAATTAATAAAAATACAGAAGTCCCTGGTGTGTATTATTCTCCAGTTTTTATTTAAATTCCAGTTAGAAGGACATTAGGAGAAGGAAGGGGGGGAATCAGAGGGGGAGACAAACCATGAGAGACTATGGACTCTGAGAAACAAAGTGAGGGTTTTAGAGGGGAGGGGGGTGGGGGAATGGGTTAGCCCAGTGATGGGTATTAAGGAGGGCACGGTACTGCGTGGAGCACTGGGTGTTATACAAAAACAATGAATCGTGGATCACTACATCAAAAAACTAATGATGTATGGTAACTAATATAACATAATAAAATTAAATTAAAAAATAAATTCCAGTTAGTTAACATACAATGTAATATTAGTTTCAGTAGTGGAATTTAGTGACTCATCACTTCCATACAACACCCAGTGCTCATCACAAGTGCCCTCCTTAATCCCCATCACCTATTTTACCCATCCCCCTGCCAACCTCCCCTCCAGCAACCCTCAGTTTGTTCTCTACAGTTAAGAGTTTGTTTCCTGGTTTACCTCTCTTGTATTTTTTTCCCCCATGTTCATCTGTTTTGCTGCTTAGATTTCACATATAAGTGAAATCATATGGTACTTGTCTTTCTCTGACTGATTTATATCACTTAGCATATTACTCCCTAGCTCTATCCATGTCATTTCAAATGGCAAGATTTCAATCTTTTTGATGGCTGAGTGATATTTCATTTTATATATATACCACATCTTCATCCATTCATCAGTCAATGGATATTTGGGCTTTTTGCATAATTTGGCTATTATTGATAATGCTGCTATAAACATCAGGGTGCATGTGCCCCTTCAAATCACTATTTTTGTATCCTTTGGATAAATACTAGTAGTGCAATTGCTGGGTCATAGGGTAGTTCTATTTTTAACATTGTGAGGAACCTCCATGCTGTTTTTCAGAGTGGCTGCACCAGTTTGCACTCCCACAGTGTAAGAGAGTTCCCCTTTCTCTGCAACCTTGCCAACACCTATTGTTTCCTGTGTTGTTATTTTTAGCCATTCTGACTGGTATGAGGTGCTATCTCATTGTAGTTTTAATTTGTATTTCTCTGATGATGAGTGATGTTGAGCATCTTTTCATGTGTATGTCTTCTTTGGAAAAATGTCTATAAATATTTTCTGCCCATTTTTTAACTGGATTGTTTTTTGGGTATTTAGCTTTATAAGTTCTTTATGTATTTTGGATACTAACCCTTTACCAGATATGTCATTTGCAGATATCTTCTCCCATTCTGTAGGTTGCCTTTTAGCGCTGTTGATTGTTTCTCCCTGTGAAGAAGCTTTTTATTTTGATGAGGTCCCAATAGTTTATTTTTGCTTTTGTTACCCTTGCCTCAGAAGACATATCCAGTAAGAAGGTGCTAAGGCCAATGTCAAAGAGGTTACTGCCTGTGTTATCCTCTACAATTTTTATGGTTTCAGGTCTCACATTTAGGTGTTTCATCCATTTTGAATTTATTTTTGTGTATGGTGTAAGAAAGTGGTCCAGTTTCATTCTTTGGCATGTTTCTGTCCAGTTTTCCCAACACCATTTGTTGAAGAGACTGTCTTTTTTTCTATCGGATATTCTTTCCTGCTTTAAGATTAACTGGCCATACAGTTGTGGGTTTACATCTGGGTTTTCTATTCTGTTCCATTGATCTGTCTGTTTTTGTGCCATACCATACTGTCTTGATCA